CACCCACCCAGACCCCACTTGTGCTGGGTATGTTATTGTTGTATGGAAAGAGAAAGTGGCTCCTGATTGGAAATCAGATAATTTATTTTCAATCAGGATATCACGTATTTTTCAAATCACAGCTAAGAGAGAATACACTATAATAGCATTCTTAAGCTTTAGACACCAATCTTTATAAAACCAACTCCAAAAAACAGAACTTAGTGCAGCACAATGGGCAGCTAGCCAACAAGATCCAAGTTTGCCAGCTCTGCACCATTGTAGTCGAATTTTGAGTATTACTAGCACAGGTTAAGATTTTTGGGTTACACTTCTTTCATTAGTTTAGGGCTTCCTGCAGTTAAAAAGAGGTTTAGTTATCAAATAACCCTCGGTTGCAAGTCATGTTTGTTTCTTATTAGGGAAAAGCAACTGCAATACATTTTCTTTGATCCTGCAGTTGCTAGTTGGTTAATTGTGGCAATTCGTTATTCTTCACCTGCCTGTTTGCTTTGTTACCTGCCACATCAACTTATTGCTAAAGTTCATGGTCATGGACTAGCTACATGAAAATTCTCATTTGTCTTTGTGCACCCAGAATGAATAAATAATAAACAAAAACTAGTATAGATTCCAACCAAGAGTAAAACTTGGAAAAATATGCTGGAATCCATATTATCCTGCTCTATTTTGAGAAAAATAACATATTATATATCAGGTGCAAAAAGGTTGTGTAGAACCAATTTACATTCCAAATGAAGCAACAAGATCTCCTTGCTCTTCTTACAAGGATTCTATAATTATAATCAAAGATTCAGCATCATCTAGGAATTCTTACTTACACCAAAAAATGAAATAAGAGCAGACAATTCATCTTAATTATTTTGCACCTAATTACTTTCTATATTATTATGCTCTAACTAGGCCAAGTGATATTTTCTGCCATACCATTATTGCTTGTTGGAAAAATTCCATTAGGTCATAGCCCTTGGCACTTTTCCCACCATTCCCTTTGGGTCAACGTAGGTAGTCTGTTGCCAAGACTCAATCAATCAATCAATCAACTAATACCCAATCTCAAAACTAGTTGGGGTCGGCTACATGAATCGTCTATATCGAATTCAGTCATCCTATTCTAATTCTATGTATTACATCTTTATTTATCATATTATCCTCCTGACGGATGGAATCTATATACAGAATTATAATTAGGAACTGCAGATTGCCTCCTAAAAAGCAACAGTTGCAGATGTTGATGGAATCTATATATCAGAATTATAATTAGGAACTGCAGATTGCCTCCTAAAAAGCAACAGTTGCAGAAGTTGCTTTTTCTGCTGGCAATTTGGAGTTAAAGAAGAGGTAACGCTATATAATGATGTGAAACTTTTCCAAAGTAATGACATAGTCCTTGTGAATGGGTTGCATTGATAACCATAGAGGGGTAATACTTCAAGAAATTCAGCTTGGCTTTTTACTTCAAAGAACCTATTCTTCGTGAAAAAGTCATATATATCTTCTATAATTGATCAGTCATGAGAAATAAACATTCAGAGTTGCAGACCATTTAGGAAGAGCCCAAACAATTCAATGGTTACGACTTATGAAGGTCTACTTTCGGAAGGTTTTGGTGAGAAAGGATAAGGAAAAAGGAGGAGCTGTTTCTTAGTTCTCGTATTAGATACAGACTCCACCACACCAATTTTTTGTCACTAATCAAGCACCAGAATACATCACATGCCAGCTCTGGACCACGCACAGGGAAGTTCAATAAACAAACCAGCATGTTAAAGCTTACAAATGCCAGGACATAAGATATGTGAAATCTTTGAGTATCTTCTGTTATATTTAAGAAATGTAATTATATCGTAAAAGCAGCACTAGGAAAGTCGAAATCTTTGAGTATCTATTGTCTTGGATTTATTTAGCAGTTTTCACCTATTAGTTTATGCTCCAACATTACTTAAAGAGAGAAAATAAGATAACAAGCAACTAATCGCATTTTGTTGATGCACAAGCCAACTGATATGACAAACTTACCATGTCCTGCTTATTAGCGAAAACCAAGATCACGGCATTAAGCATAAAAGGATCTCTGATGATGGCCTGAGAACACATTAAGAATGAGATTTCATTAGGTAAGTCACCAAGAAGTACCTGAATCAAAGAGATAAAGGTTCAAAAAAGGAACCTGAAACTCTTGCCTCGCCTTTCCAATTCTCTCTCGATCCAAAGAGTCAACGACGTAAATCTGTATACAATAAAACAATTTGTAAGCAGATATGGTTACCATTTTACATAAACAAGATGTGCAAGCAGTTAAATATAGTTCATATATTAAGAGGGAAATAGTCGAGTTAGCAATAGCTCAGGAAACTAGTTGGCGGCAAAAATCGAGGGCGCTCTGGTTAAAGAAGGGGGATTCGAATACCAAGTTTTTCCATAGGGTGGCAGTTGCTAATCGAAGGAGATACTTCATAGAATCCTTAGTTGTGGATGGGGTGAGGATTGAGGGAGAGGAGGAGGTAAAAGGGGCGATACTGGGGTTTTATGAGAACTTATACAAAGAGGAAGTTAGTTGGAGGCCGACTTCGGGGGAATAGAGTTCAACCACACAGGGGAGGGAGACAGTGAGTGGCTAGAAAGAGCTTTCGAGGAGGAGGAGGTGCATGAGGCTGTGTCAAGTTGTGATAAGGCCCCCGGGCCTGATGGTTTCTCCTTGGCCTTCTTCTAGCTCTAGCTCTGTTGGGACACCATCAAGGGGGAGTTGATGGAAACCATTGAGTACTTCCATGTGAATGGTGTTTTCAAGAGAAGTATCAATGCTTCTTTTATTACTATTATGCCTAAGAAAGAAGGTGCATCTTGTATCAGAGACTACAGGCCTATTAGTCTCGTGGGGAGCATTTACAAGATTATTTCTAAAGTGCTTTACAACGGACTCAAGAAGGTTCTTGACTGGCCTGTTTCGTCCTCCCAGAATGCGTTTGTGGAAGGTAGGCAGATCCTGGATGCTGCTCTGGCGGCAAATGAGCTTGTAGACTCCGGAAGGAAAAATAGAAAACCCGGCTTACTATGCAAGTTGGACCTTGAGAAGGCTTTCGACCATGTCAATTGGGAGTTCCTGGATTTCATTATGATGCGGATGAGGTTTGGGGCAAGATGGAGGGGATGGATCAAGTTCTGCATTTCCTCAGTCAGATTCTTTGTCCTGGTTAATGGTAGCCCGTGTGGTTTCTTTGGCAGCTCCAGGGGTCTCAGGCAAGGTGACCCCCTATCCCCCATGCTATTCATTTTAATGATGGATGCTCTGAGTAAAATTATGGATCGTGCAGCGGGCGGAGGCTTCTTGAGAGGATTCTCAGCTCCGATCGGGGTGCTCAATGCCCGAAGAGTCTCTTATTTGCTCTTTGCGGATGACACCCTAGTTTCCTGCGATGCCGATATGGATCAGTTGACCTACCTGAAGCATGTCCTGCAGTGGTTTCAGATAGTATCAGGTCTTAAAATCAACCTCGGCAAGTGCAAGATTTTCCCGGTGGGTGAGGTTGCTAACATTGATGTTTTGTCTTATGTCCTCAGATGCAAAGTGGGCTCCCTTCCCACTACTTACCTGGATCTCCCATTGGGCGCTTCGCATAAGGATACTACGGTTTGGAATCCAGTGATCGAAAGGGTTGAAAAAAGATTAGCAGGCTAGCAGAAACGGTACTTGTCAAAAGGCGGTAAGAAAGTGCTTATTAAAAGCACTTTATCGAGTATGCCCACTTATTACTTGTTCCTGTTGCAAGCTCTTGTGAGCATCACAGAAAAACTGGAGCGGTTTCAAAGGAATTTTCTTTGGGATGCGGCGGATGGAACCAGAAAGTTTCATCTAGTGAATTGGCAGACAGTCACTTCCCCAAAGAAGTGGGGTGGAGTTGGACTAAAAGATCTTAGGGTATTCAACAGAGCTTTGTTGGGGAAATGGTTGTGGAGATTCGGGGTAGAAGAGTATGCTCTATGGAGGGAGGTCATAGTAGAAAAGTACGATTCCACAGGAAGGGGTTGGAGGACCAAGGCAATCACAGCACCTTTCGGGTGTGGCATGGGAGGAACATCATGAAGAATTGGAAAGCATTCAGTGGCAACATCACTTACAGGGTGGGAGATGGAAGGAGAATCAGCTTTTGGAATCATAGGTGGTGTGGAGAGAATACTCTGAGGGTCTCCTTCCCCGACGTCTTCAGAGTTTCAAACCAGAAGGAATTGATGGTCCAACAGATTCGTAAGGAGCATGACGGGAGGTAGTACGGGACCTCTCATTTAGAAGGAACATGCAAGATTGGGAGATTGCGGAGCTCCAAGATTTGTTGACAATGTTATATGGGCAACACAGGCCCCAGCCATCTTGTGATTCTTAGAGATGGGCTTTGTGTGGCGATGGTTTGTTCACCATAAAATCCTTTTACCAGAGTATGTTGGTGAGAGACGAGGCCACTTTTCCATACTCCTCGATCTGGATTCCTAAGGCACCCACGAAGGTGTGCTTTTTTGCATGGCTAGCGGCGAGGGGAGTGATTTTGACTGCTGAAAATCTGCGAAAGAGAGGAATTACACTTGTTAGTTGGTGGTACATGTGTAAAAGCTCAGGGGAAGAAGTTGATCATCTTTTGTTGTATTGCCCTATGTCTTCGGCTTTGTGAAGGGCAATCCTGAATCTTTTTGGTGTTCAATGGGTGATGCCAAGCACTGTAAAGGAAATGTTATATAGTTGGGCCGGTTTCCGTAGAAGAAGAAAGCAAAAGGCGTGGAAGTTCGCCCCGTTAGCTCTCAAGTGGATAGTTTGGAGAGAGAGAAATAGGAGAGCTTTTGATGGGATTGAGTCTCCTTTTTCACATCTTAAGAATAGTCTTTTATCTTTGATCGCTTTTTTGTGCACTCATATAGCCCCTACTTCTATATTGGGCGTTTTTTGTAGAGAATCATGTTATGATGTAAATTCTCTACTTTTTGGTATACTTCCTGTATACGGGAGTTCTCTCCCTTTTGATTAATACAATTTACCTTATCAAAAAAAAAAATATAGTTCATATAAAAGGGAAGATGTAGGTTTGGTTTTTGATATGGGAGTGGACTTACGTATTAGTAATGACATGTTCATATGATATATCACATTCACACATTTTCTCATTTAGAATATCTTCCAACTCTTCGAGGAATTAAGCTTCCTATTTGGCTTTTAGGTAGTACTACCTATGAAGAAAAAGAGGAGGGAAACTTCACCCTCTTTTTCTAACTAAAAGAGAGAAAATTCACCTTTCCCTCTCGCATTTAATTATTCTAAAATTAAACTCAGCAGTAGATGCATAGAAGTCGATGCAGATACAATATAATATACATAGTTACCAGTCCATCTGTGTTATTAAAGTAATGCCTCCAGAGTGGCCTTAATTTCTCTTGTCCACCAACATCCCACACAGTAAAAATCACATTCTTGTACTGGACTTTTTCTACATTGAAACCTGCATGCCATGCATATACAATCAGCTATTACATAGACAGGCATGCACTTGATGTCACAGTGCAATTACTCATTTCTGTAAAACTTTGTGATATACCAAACAGGAAGGAATTTCCATTGCTAAATTTGAGATTCCAATGTGTGCCTTCTGCAACCACTACAATGTCATCTTAAATGATGGCCTCAAGTGTTGATGAAAGTACCTTCTTTGTAACAAGTGTTGATGCGGTTCATGAAGTTTTTAACTACCTCTAGCATGGCCTATTAAAGTACCTTCTTTGTAACAAGTGTTGATGCAATTTTCAATGAACTAAGAATACTTCTCAGACAAAAGATTGCACATGTAGTTCTCCTAGTAATGAAGATCCACTTTATTTTGTGAACTGAAATGGTACAAAATCAACAATACTCAGCAAATCCTACCTTACACATCTATCAACATCAACCATATCCTAGGTAATGAAAAATTCCCATTTTCTCTGATAATTCATTAATAATCTACCGAGTATTTATTTAATAAGAAAAAGCATTTTTATTGCCAAAATTTGGATATACATTCTGAATATAGAAGGAAACAACCCCCTATTAGCTATGTAGGGTGCTCATAAAATCTATCATATATTTCAGATCTTGGTGCTTTTTATATTTTTTGCATTTGACATTAATAGGTCATATTAAAATTAGTTGAAACTTCAAATCCATCAAGCAATCAAGAAATTGGAAAAAAAAACAAAGTTGTCATGTTGAGAACAATGTTGATGCAATCAGATCCTGAATTGAAGCTCCAATTACACATTTTAATAATCAAGTGCCACACCGCTGAGAGCGAGATCTAAAGCAATTTGCATACCAATAGTAGGAACTGTAGACAGAACTTCTCCTATATGCAGCTTGTATAATATAGTTGTTTTTCCAGCCGCATCCAGCCCTAACATTACAACCTATGCGAAGCAAATCATAGCAAACATAGCAAAAATGTATAAGATATTGTACACATACGACAAGAATAATCTGCTAAGAAAATAATCAGAGACAAAAGTCATGCAGTGAACATAAGGCCATGACCTATGAAAACTGATTGCATGGATGATAAGAAATAAGCATCACTTGCATGCTTAAGCCTGATACGAAATCTACCAACTTCTAGTAATTATTCTCAATAGAGGGGGTAAATGTCATTGGGGAAACAAATTGGTTTTGCCTCCAAGAAACTCTTCCATTCCCTTCCCCCAAACCCCTCCCCATGCTGTCAGCAATGTGGGCACTGCATTATAGACTAATAACCTAAGGCAGAACATGGTTCATGAGAGATAGAACTTCATACGAAATTTTTGATGATTACCTATTTGAAAAGAAAAAAATAAGGATGATGGTAAAGACCGGATCATATCTGACAAATTGAAGGTGTCTAATGATCTAAAGATGGCCATTTTAGGTTCTTTGCATGTTTACTCCGCCTGCTTTAGAGGCCCTTTGCAGAACTGGGAGGTCCCTCAGCAATATCAAGCCACTTGGTAGCTGGCACTCTGCACTAAGTGGAAAATCATCCTAGAGGAAAAAGAATGAAAAAGAATGATATTGAAGGGAGAAGGACTTTAACTTTTTATTCCACCTACATAGGACATAAATGGGTGCAATTAGATTATTCTCACTGGTTCTTACTGAACTAGCTTCAGTGCATATTATTGTCTATTTTAATGAATTCAATTTTAGTATTTAGAGAAAACAAGTAATTTGAGTGAATTCCAAGATCGGGTTTAAACATTAGTTACAGCAGTGAATTTAATTGAAGTCAGAAAGGAAGCAACCTGAAAAGCACAGCAAGTCAGCAACTGCATTAATGAACAAGAACTACCACAAACAGCAGCGTGCCAGAAGGAAGAAAACAGTAATGTGCTAATGAAGAAAAGTTGATAAATGGAAGTTGTCCCCAAAAAAAAGAGAATCATAATTGCCATTTGTTATGAGGGCATCCTTTATCTGTTTCCAACAGACAACTTTCTGTTAAGGCACCAATATTTAACTTTATTTTCTAAGTACTTATACTCAATTTGCTCCCTCAATGGCAAGTCTTTTAACCCTCAGATGTTGGGATAGGCGATAAACAAAAAATCAACCCCAAGTTCTCCAACTCACGTAGACACATACAAAGAATAAATCATTTCACAGATTGGTGAACTCTATGTATGTCAACCAGTTCAAAGACGCCTATACAATACAGTGAAAGCTACTCTTTCTCTGTTCAGAAAAATCACAATATACAACTAATATGAAAACCCAAGGCTGATAGTTTCTCCATAAGCCGCATGAAGACGCTTTAAAGCTAAATTCAACCCTGCATATTACATTCATTCCTCAGCAACCTCAAACATGTTATTACTTTATATCACTCAATTTCCACAAAAATATGTAGCTCGTGTGTTATATACTTAAGATTGTGAACCCCAAGATTCAAGTTGTAGCATCCACTCAGGAATGACCAAACAAAAAAAAAAAGTATAAAATGTTGGAGTGGAAGCTATTAAATTGTAAGGAAATTGAAGAACTTGTCATTAAAACCTTGAGAACAGAAAATCCCAAAAAAATGGAGTTAAACCTCAAATTAAGGCTGGCACGTGGCTCGGTTAGACCCGGGCTCGGCCCAGGCCTGCGAGCCCATATGGGTAGTGGGCCTAAACGGGCCTACCCGTTTAAGCCCGGGACCAAGGGGAGGTGCAGGCCCAAGTGGGCCGGTTCATATAAGAAGACCGTTAGGACCGGGACTGTTTGGGCCCAGGACAGGGTCCTAAGTGGGCCGGTTCAACCGTTCCTAACCGGTCCAAAACGGGCCCAACGGCTACATTATAAAAAAAAATCCCACAAAAAAATTTGACCGTTACCCATTTAAAATCTAGCCGCTATTTCTGCCAAAATAGCCGTTGACTATTTATAAAATAGCCATTTAACCCCCCCTCCCCCCCCAAACTTTTTATAATTACACTTTTTTCCTATTTTTAACTATAAATACCCTCTCATTCTTTCATTTTTCTTCACAAAATTATCAATCTCTCTCTAATTTTCTTCTAAAATTGGTTACTTTATTGTTGCAACTTGTGTGAAAAATTGTGAAGTTGATGAATTGAAGTATTCAAGTCTTCAACGATAATTAATTTTCAACAAGTTGTAGGTCAATTCGGTAAACTCATTCCAACTCTTTAGTTTTAATATTATAGTTTTGTTTGTTTTATTTACGTTGTATAATTATAATTAAGATGGCTTATTCCTTAAAAAAATGTTTAGTAAAAATAAGGAAAAATCCAAGAATGGTGAATCTAGTGGCCAATCTATTCCTCCTCAATATGTGCATAATGTTGGAGGTGGTGAACACTTAGATCATGAATATATGAATTCTCTTTATGGTAACCCAACTATTGATGAAGAAGATGAGCAGGAAATAGATTTAGATGAAACGCAACCGGATGATGATACACCCACTAGTCATGTTGCTGAAGTTAACCCAACTAATCCAAATGATGCTCCGGTTGACCCCCCAGTTACTACCCCTACTTTTTCTAGACAACCTTCTAACCGGGCCGAAACATCTCTTGTTTGGCCATTTTTTATTCAAATAAGAGAAAAAAATAAAGCTAAATATAAAACTTGTGGCAAAGAGTTAGCTTTTAACTATGTTGATCGGGGGGACGGGAAATTTGAGGAGACACATAATGATACACCCTCAAGATAAAGCTAAATATTTTCAAATGAAAGCTGCGGCTGGAGGGACAAGTCCAACTAGTCAGCCTGACCATAGTACCGGGTCAAATCAATTTCAACCGGGAATTAACACTGTTACCGGTGGTATTTTATATTATGACCCAAGAAAAGATAGGGAAGAATTGGCAAAAATTGTTACTGTTATGTGTTTACCTTATAGTTTTCCTTCTAACCCTCACTTTATGCATTATATTAGAAGAGTTTTTAATCCTACTTATAAAGGATGGCCTCGCACAACCGTAAAGAACGATATTTATAAATATAAACATGAATATGAACAATATTTGCGCTATTTATTTACTCATATTAATTGTCGTGTTGCTATTACTACTGATATTGGTAGAAGTAGTAATGACTGTGATTATCTTAGTGTTACAAGTCATTGGATTGATGAGGACTGGATAATGCAAAAGCGCATTATTACTTATAGAATAATTAATTCACGTCACACAGGGCAGTTTATTTCTAGCACGGTTACGAATATTTGTAGATATTTTTGCATTAATAATAAAATAATGTCAATTTCAATGGATAATACTACTAGTAACACTAATGTTATAGCCTTGCTTACCACTACACTAAATCCTCCATTTAGTAACATTTTTCATGTTAGATGTATTTGTCATATTTACCATTTAATTGTGGGTGATGGTATGAGAATTTTAAATGTTGAAATTGAAAAGGTTAAAATGGCTTTTTACTGGCTTTTTTATTCAAACCGTAGAAGTAGACTTAGAGAATATTTTAAAAGATGCGATGAATTTGGCCTAAGAGAAACAAAGGTTCCTAAACCTTATCCAACTAGATGAAATTACATGTATGAAAGTTTAGTTGTTGCATATGAATATAGAAACCCCATAAACTCAACGTTTAATGCTCATGTAAGTGATGATAATGAGCACCTTACAAATGAGGATTGGGCTAATGTTAAAATGCTTGTAGATTTTTTAGAAAGATTTCATGTTGCTACAAATGAATTTTCTGGGCAATATTATCCTACTATTTCTAATTGTTTAGTTTATCTTGCAAATCTTGCAAATTTATTTGCTTATTTTTCAGAGGGTGAGAAAATTTATGAAATAGCTATTGATTCTATGAGAATGAAATTTAAAAAATATTTTTTTCCTATTCCCCCTATTTATGGTATTGCTGCCTTGTTAAATCCTACTATGAAATTAGGTGGTCCTCAATATTGGTATCAATCTATTTATAATGGTTTAGCACTTGAAGCTGAGGAGTTGTCTACACTTTCGGACGCAAAAGCCTCAATTAAAATAAATGCTCTAACTAATTTATAGTGCTTATCAAATTGCAATAGATAATGCTAGACCAGATGTTCCAACTCCTTCTTCTTCTAGTTCTCAATCATCTAAAAGAACTGCAGGAGTAAGAGCACTTACTGCTTGGACCGAGTTCAGGGGTTCTCAAGGTTGTCCCACTAGTGATTGTTCACAACTAAATGAGCTTGAAGTTTATTTGTCACAGGGACTTGAGGAAGTGAATCCCGACGGCTCATTTAATCTTTTGGAATGATGGAAGGACAAAGAAAAAACACTTTCCGATCCTTTCAAGGATGGCCCGAGACATTTTAACCATTCAAGCTTTAACGGTGGCATCGGAAAGCGCTTTCAGTCAAGCAAGACCTTAACTCGGTGATTATAGAGCGTCTATGAGGGAGAGCTTGGAAAAATCAGTATTTTCCAGAGACTGGATCCGTTCGGAACGAAGAAATTTTGGACTTGTTGAATCGCAACCAGAGGTAGACGAAGTTTACGAAGAAATGCTAGCTGAACTTGCGGAGGATGCAGCTTCGCCCGGAAGCAGTGATGAACAAGCTTCTTTTCCGCCACCACCAAGGGAAATTCCCTTGAACCTTGATGGATTTATGAAATTTGTAAGAAATACCATGTAAAATTAATACGTAACTTGTATTTTGGCACTTTNATTAAAAAATTTTAAGTCACAACTATATAATATAATTTACAAGAAATTGCCTTAGATAAAAAAATAGGCCCACTTAGGCCTACATATATATATATAATTTACAAGAAATTGCCTTAGATAAAAAAAAAAAGGACAGACCCACTTAGGCCCGAGCCCAGCCCACTTAGCTCGGGACCATTAGTTCGTGGTTCCAGTCCCGGTCCGGTTACCTCCAAAAGTCCACGAAGCCCGGGACCGTTTAAACCCGGCCCACGAAGCCCGGGCCCACATAGAACCGGCCCACGAGGGCCATTTAGTCCCGGGCCCACATAGAACCGGCCCACGAGGGCCATTTAGTCCCGGGCCCACCCATTTACCACCCTTACCTCAAATTAATAATCATAAGAAACCTTTACAACAACTATATATAACTCCTACCCCTAAATTCCTAACCTAGACAAGACTCTTAGTTAAGGTAAGACTAAAAGAGGTATTTTCAAGACCTCTTTCTTTAACGAGGGTGGAGTCCGGCTAGCTTGCATAAGGTAAAAGTAAGGTAACAGTCCAATAGCTAAAAAAGACAAACTAAAAAATAGAAAAATTTATCGTCTCTTAACTCAGACACGGATCAAAAGTCAGGGTCACTTAAGATTAACATAATCATGAACCAAAGTAGTGGAATTGGGAAGTATATGGAACTTAATTTGGCAAAAATCATAAGTAATGAAATTTAGTTACAAAATGGAAAAATAAAAAGTGCGTTTGGGCATTTACCCTCATCTCAGAGTTGCCGAAGAAGGTATCAAATAACTTGCGAAAGGCTTGTCCCATTCCGCCTTTTGTTTTCTCCAAAAGCGAATCAGATCCAAGCTATTCCATAACTATAATTTGATGATCGATTTGAGAAACAGAAGAAACGCTCCTTGGTGAGAAGGTAGCGTTGTTTTTCCTTTGTTTTTTGAGTTTCTTTAATTCTTTCTTTCCTTTTTTATTTGTTATTGAAAAAAGAAGTCCATGTATATTCCTTCATGCCATTAGGCTTTTAGCCGTGGAAATGGAATTTTTATTTCCGTCCTGGAAATGGATTACTTTTGCAAGTTGCAAATATGGTCTTTTAACTACTCGTCCTACTTTGGATCAATTTGTTATATCTCTTTTTCATTTTCCGTGTCACCGTCCATTTGTGAGTACGGGTGTACATGGGTCGGGTTGGTTTGGATTTTTCAATTATTAAACCAAATCAATTGTGTCGGGTTATTAAATCTAAAGACCAAATCAAACCTCGAGTTTTTTAATCTCGGATTTTCGGGTTTTTTCAAAAAAAAAATTCATAAAGTCTTCATAGCACAAAACATAGAATTTGTGCTCCAAATATTTCTTTAATCTTAGTAAGACAGAACTATATAAGGTGTTTTTCTATAAAATAACATATATAAATATGAGATGAGTCGTGGCATTGTGCTAAAATATTCAACAAGAAAGATAACAAAATCGCATAAAATAAATATTATTAATAAGCCATAATGAAAACAAACATAATTTAAAATTACTAATTTGCTAAAATAAGTACGACTAATAAGTACTATTATTTATATGACTAAACACTAAAAGAAAAATAAGTTATGCATTTTATCTAAACCATGAAAAAACTAAGTAATGGATATCCAATACTATTTTCATTCATAGTACTATTGAATTGAATGTCTTTTATTAGTATTAGTATTGATTTGAATTTGGTTTAGGATTTATTTGAGTTACCACCATTTATGGACTACAAAACTTATTGGAGCATCCAAAATTATAAGTCCAAGCTTGAAATAATACGTTAAAAGATAAAATTATGAAAAAGTTTAAGAAACATTTATAAACTACACTACAATAAATATTTTTATGTATTAAACATGTTTAAAACTTCTATACATATAATGTCGGGTTGATTTGGTTTCGGTTTGACTTTTTTTAGTTAAAATCAAACCAAACCAATTATGATCGGGTTTTTTCTTCCAACACCAAACCAAATCAAACCAAACTATAGTCGAATTTTTTTTCTCGGTTTGACTCAGATTAATGGGTTGGTGCGATTTGTCGGTTTTTATTTGTACACCCCAATTTTTGAGGCGTTAACATTTATATTCCCCAAGTAAAAATATATGGGGATATAATTTTATTTTATATTACTTTTTTTAGAGTCTGTTATAAATATAATAATCAATATTCAACTCATTAAGATAATAATATTCAGTTGTCCACTATGGAGAAGAGGTATCATTTGAGCCGAGCCTTGAACAAGTGTGAATTTCAGTTGTATCATGATTACTATTGTTCTATTTTACCTTGCCTACGTCAGAATTATCTTAATTATTAGTTGTCTTGAATCTTAGGATATATTCATTCTTTAATAAGATTAACTCCCCACTACCAAGAATCGTATGCATCCTGGGTTCTTGGTGCTTATTGTTCTAGTCTGTTAACTATTAGTATATGTGATATATAAGTTTGAACGTTGAATTAGCCCTTGCAGCCAAACACTTCAAGCCTTCCAGGCATAAACAAATATCATATTGACATATGAGTCTAAAGGTGTCAATAGAAGGAGTTGTTTTTTTTTACTCGTACATATTCTATTTTTCCAATATCAATGAGATGCGTTCCAGTGATAAGTTTAAATCCAATTGAAAATTTTAATCAATAGTCACTTGTACAAAACTGTCATTTTCTTCTAATTAGTTATCACTTAAATTGTTCTCGAACAATTTGGGCATTTTGAATGGTAAGTTTGGTAACAAAATTGCCGATCAAAGAACCCGAAATCTATAAGAGGAGAACGAAGGCATTGTATAATAATAATAATAATAATAATAATAATAATAATAATAATAATAATAATAATAATAATAATAATAATAATAATAATAATAATAATAATAATAATGAAATATACATATAGATATAGATATATAGTAACTGCGTCTACAGGGAACTTGTTGGGAAGCTACGGGACCAGAATTATTGCATAGAAAATATCCATAAACCTATATAGGAACCACATTCAACAAGTTGACTGCAATAAAACCGAGTTGGGAACAAGCTGGAGGAATCACCAACTTATACATTATTCTGACAAATAAGATATCTGAATCTGCAGAACAAATGAGAGAGAATCAACTGCTTTCTCAAAAATGAGTTTGTGCCAATTTCCTTACATATCACTGACCAAATATCATACTTAGAAAATACACCACTATTTCCACCAGTAAACAATAATTATTTCCTCACAACAAGCCAATGCCCTGTACATATAACACCTATTCCTGGTGCTGAAATAAGGAGGCCAATTCAAGAACCTGTCTGACCTGCAAGACAGTTTTGGTTTGAAGTTGCCATTTATGATAAAGATAGCAAAATGGAAGTTTGCTGTATGTTATGAGTTTAAGGATGAACAAATATTATTATTGCGCATTTGATACTGATAATTTCAGCTTTCCTGATCTTGTACTAAAATATAAACATTCTTGTCATACCTGTTTACCTAGTTTGCTAATGGACCAAATTCAGTTAAATGAATGAACTGATGTGTACCCAAGTGAAGTGGAGACTCTACAGGGATGCAAGAATTGGAGATCCTCGAGAACCAAATACATCACAAGACAGAAATCATCTCTCTTACCAGCAATATAACTATTTCCAGATCACTAGAGAAAACACAACTGACAGATCCTCTAGCAAATAGCATTGTTCAGCTGCCATTCTGACTGAATGTCCACAATTCAACATGCACTTTATATACAGATGATCAAACCTTAAATATCTGCACCTTCAGCCTGTCCTTTCTGAGCACTCTCAAACGAAATTGCTTTTCCCTTGCCATCTGAAGCTCCTACCGCAGCAGCTGCTCTCTGTGTCTTTGAACTCTGTAGAAGCGTGAGCTGGCTTCGCAGAATCTGGATTCACAAATGAAGTTTCCTTACATATATGATATAATAACAAGGCTTTCTGTGAAAGATCAAATAAGAAAAAAGTTTACCAGAAAAAGAAAGGCTAAGAAGAAACAATCTTAAAAATGAGACTCTAATCTGCTACAATGTGACCTTATACAGGCTGAAGCTATACATCAATTTCATTTCTGATCAAGAAAGCTATACATCAAATTTCTTTTTTGATCAACGAGGCTATACATCAACTTCAAGGCTATTCATCAATTTCCAGCGCTCTATGGTCCATGCTTTTCTCAACAAGGCTATACATCATTCCACAGATAATAAATTTCAAGAACTTCAAAATATTGTAAGATAAACAGAATATTGAACTACACCTAGAAATTATCTTAAAAATGATTAGTGCATATAGAAATTAGCAATCCATCTGAGACTAATAGGAGCACGATATCACAAACATAAAAGAGAGAAACCAATCAACCAGAAAAACTTCCTTACCTCAATCTGCTGCTGTAAGGATATCCTATGGGCCTCGAGTTGAGTATCTGAAGTACTAAGGTTGTTCCAAGAACTATCTCCAAAAGGCATGTTAGCACCAAGATAGCTGAGTATTGAGAACATTAATTAGAGTTCTTTCACTATGTTTACAAGAACTAAGAAATTTACTAGGAAATAAAAAAAGAGAACCACCCCCCGTCAACTGCCAAAGAAAGAAAGAGAAAAAGGGCGGGGTGGTACACTGTCAAAAACTAGAAGTGGTAACCACCACTCTGCATCTACCACCAGTTCACACCACATGATCAAGGAAATACATATTGGAAGTCATTTCTCATGCCAGTTATGGACAACCTCATTAGCATTCACCTGCTCTAAAGTCAACAGTTCCATGACAAGCCAAATCTCCAATGGAACTCATTGAATATAAAGCAGACCCACAACATGACAAGTGCTTATGTGAATATCTTCAAAGGGATGTGAATGACATACGTTAAATGACAACTCACAATTCCCTTCTCCCTTCATTTCAAATGGACCGCATACTTTTGAATTTGCAGAGTGTTATTCTTTAATGTTAATCAAGAAAACAAGTAGAGCTAAATGAGATTACCGATGGAAAAAGTGGGGACCGACAGTTACATTGATTTGTTAGAAATAGAAAGGAGACCATGTTCCAGTGAAAACATGGAGAAGTGTCAATGTAACTATGCTTATCAAGGAAGATAGTGAGGTAGGTTTCACCATTTACATGCACTCCTGGGGAAAGGTCTCATAAATATGCAAAGAAAATGAGCAATACAATGCTGACGTAGAAGAGATAATTAATACCAGGGTAGCATCTGTGCAGAAGGATAAACAATGGACTTCTCATAAATTGCAGCAGCTGCTGCTGCAGCTTGGAGTCTAGCCTGGTGCTGGCTAACATGGCTGTTTGTCCTGGGATCTGCTTGAGAACCTTGAGGTGTAAAACTTGTTCCTGGGCCTATTGAAGATTACCGGAGTGTTTAGTGAATAGATACCAGAACATTCATCACTTTGTACAAAGAATATCCAAGTTTCCAATAGCTATAGATAAGTTTCTATAAGCACGACATTTTTTAAGAAAAGAAATAACATATGACAATCAACAAGTAGGGACACAATTATTTAGTGTGCACCAAAAGAACTATTCCTTTTAAAATATAAAACAGCGGAAGCTATCTCTGAAGATGTTTGTTTACATGCTTTGTATTGAAGGAACTCAATATAATCCGGTAGTGAAACCATCCAACTATTCATAGTATTGGATCCCATGTCGCTACAATTAATTTCTCAAATTCTTGACTAAAAGTTGTAGGGTTAACTTGAAATAGTGGAAATTAGTAACTCCTAGAAAACTGGGAAAAAATATCTGGGAAAACACTGTTCACGCCGGAAAATACTGTAGGTCGCCGGAAAATTTGAAAGTTGTCGGAATCTGTCGAAAATAGTACTAGCGACTCGGAATTGTTGTGCGAACAAGCTGTCCTGAAGAAGCTCGGCCAAAAAATGGCACGTGTTTTGTTCATAACCTTACTCCAGGAAAAGATAAGTTAGCTCCTCGTACTCTTAAGTGCGTATTTTTGGGTTAATCGAGAACAAAAGGGATATCGATGTTATTCTCCTGACCTCCAGCGGTATCTTATGTCTGCTGATGTTACCTTCTTTGAAACTCAATCATACTTCATAGGTCTAAGTAATCACTTAGATATTTCTAAGGTGCTACCAGTTCCATCTTTTGGAGATTTAGTTACTATCTCCCATTCATCTTCCTCTATAACTCCAGCTTCACCGCCTACAGCTCCAGTTGCAGCTCCACCACCTATAGCTCCAGTTCCACCACCTAGTCCACTTCAACCTTCTAAAGCTCCACCACTCCTAACTTATCATCGTCGTCCGCACCCAGCATCAGGCCCAGCTGATTCGCGTCTTGCACCTGAACCTGCTAATACTGCGGACTTGTCTCCTCTTAGTCAATTGATTGCACCAGTTCCATCTTTTGGAGATTTAGTCACTATCTCCCATTCATCTTCCTCTATAACTCTAGCTTCACCACATACAGCTCCAGTTGCAGCTCCACCACTTATAGCTCCAGTTCCACCACCTAGTCCACTTAAACCTTCTAAAGCTCCACCACTCTAACTTATCATCGTCGTCCGCGCCCAGCATTAGGCCCAGCTGATTCACGTCCTGAACACAACCCTGCTAATACTGCGGACTTGTCTCCTCTTAGTCAATCGATTGCACTACGGAAAGGTATACGGTCCACACTTAATCCTAATCCCCATTATATCATTAAAGTTACCATCGGCTTCATCACCCCATTGTGCATTTGTATCTTTGTCCTTTGTTTCCACCCCTAAGTCTACAGGTGAAGCACTGTCTTATCTAGGGTAGCGATAAGCTATGATTAACGAGATGTTTCCTTTACATACGAGTGGTACTTGGGAGCTTGTTCCTCTTCCTTCGGGTAAATCGACTGTTGGTTGTTGTTGGGTGTATGTAGTCAAAATTGGTCCAGATGGGTTAATGGACTTAAGGCTCGTCTTGTTTCCAAAGGGTATACTTAGATATTTGGGCTTGATTACAGTGATACTTTCTCTCCCGTAGCTAAAATAGCATTAGTCCGCCATTTTCTATCCATGGTTGTCGTTCGCCATTGGCCTCTCTATCAGTTGGACATTAAGAATGATTTTCTTCATGGTGACCTTGAGGAGAGGTTTATATGGAGCAACTACCTAGTTTTGTTGCTTAGGGGGAGTCTAGTGGCCTTGTATGTCGGTTGTACCAGTGCCTCTATGGTCTAAAGCAGTCTCCTCAAGCCTGGTTTGGTAAGTTCAGCATAGTTACTCAGGAGTTTGGCATGACTCGTAGTGAAGTTGATTACTCTGTGTTTTATCAGCATTCTTCTTCAAATCTCAGTATTTATCTGGTGGTTTATATTGATGATATTGTTATTACCGGCAATGATCAGGATGGTATTACTAAGTTGAAGCAACATCTCTTTCAGCACTTTTAGACTAAGGATCTAGGTAGATTAAATTATTTTCTAGGTATTGAGGTCGCTCTGTCTAGCTTAGGTATTGTAATCTCACAACGGAAGTATGCCTTAGACATTCTTGAGGAGACACGAATGACAGGCTGTAGGCCTGTTGACACTCCTATGGATCCGAATTCTAAACTTTTACTAGGACAGGGGGAGCCGCTTAGCGATCCTGCAAGATATAGGTGGCTAGTTGGTAAATTAAATTACCTCACAGTGACTAAACCTGACATTTCCTTTCCTGTGAGTGTGGTAAGTCAGTTCCTGGATTCTCCCTGTAATAGACATTGGGATGCAGTTGTCCGCATTCTTTGATATATAAAATCAGCTCCAGGCAAAGGATTATTGTTTGAAGATCGAGGTCATGAGCAAATTGTTAGGTACTCAGATGCTGACTGGGCAGGATCTGATAGACGTTCTACATCTGGATATTGTATTTTAGTAGGAGGTAATTTGGTGTCTTGGAAGCGCAAGAAACAAAATGTGGTTGCTCGGTCTAGTGCAGAAGTAGAATATCGAGCAATGGTTGTGGTAACATGTGAGCTAGTTTGAATCAAACATTTGCTTAATGAGTTGAAATTTGGTGAGATCAGCAAGATGGAACTTGTGTGTAATAATCAAGCTGCCTTTCATATTATATCAAATCTGGTGTTCCATGAGAGAACTAAACACATTGAGATTGACTATCATTTTGTCAGAGAAAAGATACTCTCAGGAGATATTGCTACAAAGTTTGTGAAGTCGAATAATCAACTTGCAGACATTTTCACCAAGTCCCTCACTGGTCCTCATATTAGCTACATATGTAACAAGCTCGGTACATATGATTTGTATGCACCAGCTTGAGGGGGAGTGTTAGATAGTTATATAGTTAATATGTAATTAGTCCGAGTCCCGTATTGAATAGGAGTAGGATCTGTATTATGTATATAAATAGGGCTCATTGTATTATAATTAATTGATCAATAATAGATTTTTCTCCCATACATTCCATGTTTCAATTTTATCTTTTTATGCCTGCAAAATTTCTAGAGCACTACATATGAAAGATAGCAGTTTTATATCCTCTGAGCATATTGTATCGAGGCTCTTATTTTTCCTGTATTATTGAGTTTTTGGAGCTTCAGAGATGTCTAGACTGATCTTTTTTATTTCAGTTGTTGTATCTTCTATATTTACTTAGTTTGTTCTATGTGTTGCATGGAACCCCATAATTTTTTTCTTATTTTCTCATTTTAGTCAGCTGGCGGACGTGCCTCTTCGCTTCCTTTCAGTTATTTCTTTTGCAGCAAACCAATTATCGGTGTCGAATCTCAATAGCCATAAGAATATAATCATGCTCAAGGACCTCTAAAAAGTTTCAGCCAGTTGAAACTTGAAAGCCATATCACGTGATCCACTAGGTATAGAATGCAGCCACATCATAAATGCATGGTTTGGTCCAGTTTCAGCAATGGGGGTTTGTTGGGGTTGCCACCATAGATTGATGGTTCTCTTTGAAACATAATAGCAGCTAAATACACAAAAGCGCCAATCTGAGAACTTCTAGAAGTTACGGTTTCTTCCTGAATTAGTTATACAGAATGAACATTCATCATCTTTGGGAAATTAAATTTTTTTGTTAAATTTTATTTTGTAACTCACACACAATTTTTATCTGGTTCTCAAAAAGTTTGTATTCATTGATAAAGGGTACACACACAACACGTGTGCCCAGAAACTAGTTACAAGGAAATGGGTAATTTAAACTCGATTCTACTATAGCAAAAAGCGATGTTGAGAAACATGTTAAAAAATTAAGCATCAATTTCCAGGCATCATTCAAACAAACTTATTACAGTTGATACACAATATAAAGAATGGCATAGGTGATACCTTGCTGAGCATATCGAGATCCTGCAACATTCGTCCCATTTTCAGGTGGTACAACAAGGGCTCTGCATGTAGGACATGTGTGCTGACGTTCTAGCCATGACCGGAGGCAATTAACATGAAAGAGATGTCCACAAACAAGTTTCTTGGCAGTGGTCATCTCCTCACGACAAATGATACAGATGGTATCACCTCTGCAAGAGCATTAAATGTAACCATAATGATGAAGAAAGTGATGAAGAAACCATATAAACCAAGACTCCAATAAGTGAGCAACTTACCCATTGAGCTCTTCCGGTGTAGCCTCTGGAAAAAGATCATTCATGTTTGAGGTGACTTTTCGATAGCGTATGTAGTCAGCAACTCGACTCTTGAAGTTGCGGAATGTCTCATAAAGTTCCCGAATCAAGTGCAGAGGCACACCATAATTGCTGAAAGTTCAGGAAAATAAATAAATAAACAAAGACAACAGGAAGAAAATGACCTTTTTCTCTATTTTGGACACTCTTCTAAGACTAATCAATCAATCATGAGGAAGAAAGGAGGAAGAGGAGGAGGAGCAGAAGAAAATAAAATAAAATTTGACTTACATGAAAATCATGAGGAAGAAGCACATGTACATAGTCAAGTGGAGCAAGTCCCGAATAAGCTCCAAGTAGAAAGTATATACAGCCTTCCTCTCCCATTGTCCTTCCATAAGCATGTCACATACATGGAATACATATTTCACGAATGTTGCAACAGTTGTTGTAGTGAGTATCATGTACCTGAGAGATAATGACAAAAAGGTAAAAGGTTAAACTTCACTTAGGAACTGGATATGGGATACAGATAATTAATATGATCAAACTGTACTTGGCAAAACGATAGCAGCTATATGGTCAAACTGCACTTGGTGGCCAGAGTTACTAACGTGATTCCAGCATACATCAGGTGGAAAAACCATTTCCAAGTAAGCACACCCGTGAAAGGTCCTCGTGATGGATCTTCTATTGTCACCATAAAAGGTAAAATATGCACAAAAGCTATGATGAATGAGCCAAGAATGACAATTGGCTAGCATTAATGATTAACACACAGATTTGAAATGATACCAGCTTTAATGGTCAATTTCAAAGCATCTATGTCTAGTTTGAATATAAACAACGAAAGAACTGCATCAAAAAAATAAACAGCATTTGCAGGTGCAAAGATCCAACACCCTCCCTTTGCCAAACCCAGTACAAAGCAAATTATCTTTGAAAAGGTGTCATATATCCCCATGCCCCCAGCCTAACTAAGTGTTTACTTAAGGCATGAAACGTGCTTGTCTAACTCAATCTAATGGCATCCAGTCTAATGAAGCTCTACACTGTCCCCTGGCATGTATCTAAATGTGTCCAAAAGCACGACTAGACTAGCAGTAGAACTTTAAGAATCATAGCACAAATTCAGATGGAAAAAAAGACTAGAAATAAATTAGAACAACATGACTTACTCAAATGCAAAGAAGAGAGAAACAGAAGCATGTCTTGTCTGTATCAAATGGTTCATGTAGTTGTACAAAAAGATACTATCAATGAGGAGGAGGAAGCCCATGAAAGAGACTATTCGAATGTGGGACAACTTAGTAACCGCTGGAGTTGTTTCAATATGCTCAACCCGTTTCTGAGCCAACCAATGCAAAGACTTGATAAACAATAGGCCGGTAACCATGGCAAGAAACATCACAGAGAAGTCTTGCCGGAAAATAGTAATTGCAAAAAGTATTTCCATGAGTTCCCGCCATGATTGTTCATTTAGCCTCTCCGCCTCTGCCTCCCGAAGAGTACCAAGGAAAACTTTCTTGGTTAGTTGCCATAAAATGCACATAATGGCGAGAGCCATGTTGAGGAGAAGCACCAGACTGATCTTAGATGTCGATAAATAAACCATTGCTGGGTAAAACTGGCCTCTACTGCTGAAGGCATGATAAATAGCAGCTAGTGTAGCTATTACACTAAGCCCCGCATAAGTTTGTAGTCTCATCATTTTTTCTTAACCCTGTCACACAAACAGCCGACCCCAACTTTATTTGGGACTAAGGATTGTTGTTGTCCTGTCACACAAATACTATTTTGTCAATTAACAAGCTTTCAAGATGGATACAATCTTATTACTTTCTTTATCTTTAATATCATAGACCCATATATTGTGGGAAAACACGCATAAATGTCAATAGATAGCCTTGAACATATATACACGCGTAAAACCTTATCAGTCTGATAATTATTACTGGGGATCTTCGTTTTCTATAACCAGAACCTGAATAAAGTTGATATCGTTGAATGAGTTATACCAGATTTAAATTCAAATGTAAGGTTTTCTAAATCGACCGCCTCGTAATTTAGGACCTAACGGAAAATAAATTCACAACTTCGGAACACATATGAGAACTCCGAAATAACTTGAAAATAATAGATTACTACTACAGAGTTTTAGAAGAAAGGTAAAGATGATGAATTAATCTATAAATAAAATTATGTAAAGTAGAATTTACCTGTTAAATAAAATTAAGTTGCCTTATCTTCCTGGAGATTGTAAATTGTTTCTATTGGTATTTACAAGATGGATGTGATTGGTTACCATTTCAATTTTTGATAGCCATAGCAGGGGAGTGGGAGAAGGAGATATGTGCGTCATTGTGTAAGAACTACCCAATTGATCTTTGCCACGTATGTGCAAAAAAATTAGTTTTAAAACAAGGGCACACTAGACTCTTGTGAATTACTACGATATTACAGGTCCTACCTTATTTTAATTGTTTTATAATAATTGTTTAAATACATTTATTTTTAACCCTTAAAGAGTGTGATATGATCGATTTCTCCTTTCTAATACACTCTTTTCGTTAACTAATCTTTGAGTACGCGTGTATTATATATAAACTAGGTGGGCATAGTGTGTTGCCAGGTTAATGCTTAGTAGGATTATCCAAAAATCTTGACTAATTAGTTAATCTCCCACTCTAATAAATAATTACTCAATTATTCACATAATTAAGAATGATCTCAAATTACTTAAAATACTAATCACTTTTAACACACTTTATACACCTTACTATCATGGTCATGTGGTACCTTGTATGGCATTAGTCCATAAATACCGGGTATTTTAGCTCGGTCCGTATTTTATCCCAAAATGTCAAACCTTGACGAAAATTTATTTTCTTCGATTTGTTTACCCTCTCACCTTCACCAATTTACTTATTACTTGTTTGAAATAGCATAATGCTTATAATCTCAAAATAATCTCATCCCCAAACTTACGTCAATTAGCTTACGACGAAACTTTAACGTACGACTTATGGCGTACTTCCACGTACGAAAACATGGGGTGTAACAAGACATCTTGCATATCACATGATGAACAGACAAGTAGGGAATAAAACTGATTGTGACAGAAGAAGAGCTTATATCCTTTTGTTTCAAACATTTAGAGCATATGAGGTAAAGTCCACCCTTGACTCTACCAATCTCCATAGAGGCCTGCAACATACAAGCACCATCAGTGAAGAATGCAATTCCTCTGAGATTTAAAGTCAACAAATGAATAGAAATGAGGTTATATTTGAAAGAAGGGACAAGAAGAACTTTGCGCAACACAAACCTAGGTGCAAGTTTCACACTTTCAACTTCTGTTACTCTAACTTTATAACCATTTGGTAATATGACTAACAGGGGATAAGGCAGAATAGTGATGTCACACATTGAGGATCTATTGAAGGTCATGTGATTTGAAACTCCTGAATCTAATATCTATGTATTAGTTTTAGATTTAAAACACATATATGATAGTTTACCAAAGTCAACTGAAGAGGTACATACCACAATACCTACAAAGTTTGCAGCTCCAGAGTTCAGGTTCATGTTGTTAGAATTCTCTCCTCCACTATTAGTTTGAAAGTGTTGCAACAAGCTCATGAGTTGACCATATTGTTCCTTGGTGAAACTCATTCCCTGATTCTCATCATGGTGTTCACCTTCATCTCCATTACCATTTACCATGTCAATCGAAGGACCAGGAATATTTGCCATTGTTCTTTTTCCTCTATTGAATCTAAAACCCTGATTGGGACTTTGGGAATTTTGATTAGTTCCTTGAAGTTTCTGGTTGTGGTTCTGAAAGGGCTAGCTAGAACTTTGAAAGTTTTGAGGATAATCATGGATTTTATAGCATTTCTCTTTGGTGTGCCTGGCTTTTTACAATACTCACACACTGGACGAGATCTACTATTGGGAGTGTAGTTGTTTCCTGGGTTATAGTTGGTTCTGAAACTAGGATGTTTGGAGGTATTAAAAGTTAATGAAGCAAACTCAAATATCAACTGATTGTTAGGTTTGATTTCTCTTTGTTTCTCTTCTTCAATCAATAAGGAAAAGGCTTGGGCCAAAAATGGTAAGGGATTCATCATGAGGATGCTTTCTCTCACTACAATATGCACTTCATTCAGTCTCATGAGAAACTGAATCAATCATCTGTCTTGTTCAGCTTTATGCATATTCTCTTTGGCTCCATATGTGCATTGACAGCTATAGTGAGTTTTTGCACTTAAGGTGCTAAATTCTTTCCACAATTTCTTCATTATGATGTAGTAACCAGTAATGTCTAGTGCTCCTTGTAACAAATCATTATATCTTTTTGTATTTGATATAGCTTTGCACCATTTGTCTAATCATAATGATCCTCCAACTCTTTTCACAGCTCAACAAAATCATTGACATACTCCGCACTATCAGCAATTTCTTTCCATAAAGAATTTAACAGCCATAAGGTGACTATATCATCACACCTCTCCTATAGTCTACTTCGGAGACTCTAGATCTAATTTATTACAGTATCCATTAATACAACCTAGTTTATTCTTAACAGACAGCGCACGTAGCACACTTTGTCTCCAACACCTGTATCCAATTCCATTGAAAGGAACTGGTACTAACATCGCACCAGTATTCTTAGATGGATGCATGTACAAGGGATTGCTCGAGTCAATGGTGGACTCTTTGTTTGAGTCCACATCAATGTGCTCGATTTGCTCATCAATATCCATGAGAACTATTTAATCAATAGTGTTTGAAGGAAAGTAAAGCAGAGAAATAGAGACGACTTACTATGAACCCTAATTTTGCGGAGAGAAAGGAATACCTCCAATTACATGTGTAGATCGAGCAATCGATGATCTACACGAACCTCATACGTGTTAGACTACTAGATCGGATTATCCAGTTCTGCTACCATATAAAAATCGGTGATGTAATGGACCAATTGAGCTCGAGATGAGCTCCAATAGTGGAAATGGAAACCTGGAGAAGAAGCCCCAAATTAGGGGAATGTGCGAGAAGAGAGAAGAAGATAACTTAGGAGTGAAAGTCACAATTGTATTGACTCTGCAATATTGTATATATACAGCTACATAATCAAAGTGAAAGCTTAACCAAAACTAACCGACTAACTAACTAATGGAAATATAACCGACTCAACTAACAAATTAACTGAATGGTACAACTGCTAAAGCGGTAAGTACAACTACTAAATCTATAAATAATGTAATATATCTCAATACTATCCATGTACAGTTACACCCATTGCATATATCTCTTAGTGGTCAATCTAATCAACACATGTATTTTTATGAATACTTTAGAAACAATTCCATGGCTTTGTTTTTCATGATTTTTTTTTTATGGAGAGAATACTTTTGAAACAATTCCATGACTTTATTTTTCATGATTTTTTTAGTCATGCCTCTCTTCCCTTGATTAGAAGAATTATGTCGTCTTTGATCATTTGATGTCCACTTTCAGTTCTTCCTTCTTAGCCTCAAAAGATTGGCTTTTAAGACATTTACCTATAGCGTCTTTTCAATCTATGCCATATTAACAATTAAAGTTGAGACATCTTTTCCCGTCTAAAAAATAGCTTTTTAAGAAGACACGGTTTACTCCATGTATAGTGAGTAAAAATGCATGTAAATCAGACTTGAGAAGATAGTAGTTTAAAAAAAACACTTGAGAGATAGTTTTTGAATGAATGATTGTGACGTTTAGCCAAAGAGTACCAAGCGTTGGGCAGGTTGTTTATACGCATAGTTTTTTCTAATTATGGTATTTAATTTTTAGAAGGGTAAATTAGTACTATCTTGTCAATCGGTAGTTGCTAGATCTTAAATTTGTAATGTCTATGTTTAGTTGAGGCCCAAACATGTAGTATCAGCTTTAGGGTTTACTAAAGTTGTTATTTGCCTGCTTCATTAAAAAAGAGGCAGTGAAAAGCAGCTTGGGTGTGATTCCCCATAGGTCTTACAGTGTTTTCCACTTTTGTTCTAGGGTTTGGTATACACTGCATTTATAAGAAACAAAGAAAGAGTAAATTCACGAGACTCATCTTGGAGTATGCTTATATGGTCAATTTAGTTATTGAGCTTGAGGTGGCATTAAGGGGTCAATTTCCACATGATACTCCTGTTATTTGGGATATTTGCATTTTAATAACTGTAAGTTCCTTCACTATTGTACTTTGTCTTATAGGGGATGTAATTAATCAAACAGAAAGAAGATTGCTTTGCAAGGGCATAGAGGTGGTTCTCCTTGTTTAATTTATTGTTGGGTCTGTTCTAAGAGTATAGTCATGTTAATTGAGGGGAAAGATTTGATTACCATTGTGACTGCTTTTACACAATTTTTGTTCCGCTTAGCTGAGACACTGTTGAGGTACCTGAGTAATTTTTTCTTGCCATTGTTCATCTCTAAGATTGAATTCTCGATCTTTTCGTTGATTTTTTGTCTTACTACCTGGATAAGCCGGGTGTTGGATAACAGAACATGGAGACGAAATATGCTTAGTGTGCTTATTATTGGTAGAGCTCCTGCACCACATCCACTAGTTAATATTGGAGCTCCAATTGCTGAACCACCACAAGATGGTGTTGGAGCTGGTAGTGCTCATGTTCTAATACCAATTCCACCACAAGGTGGTGGTGAAGCTCCAATCGTTGAACCACCACAAGGTGGTGGTGCTGGTAATGCACAAGTTCCAATACCGATACCTCTACAAGATTGTGTTGGGGCTCCAATACCCGACCCACCTCAAGTTGGTGCTGGAGTTGGTAATACTCAGATACCTCAAATACCACCAGGGGCTCCAGAATCAGTGTTATTGCATGGTATAGTTCGTGAAAATCAGGAGTGTTTTTGTACCTCTATATCCTTTAATGTTTTCCTGTTTTGTGTATTAGTTGGTGAGAGAAGATTTTTCATGTTCTTTCATTTGGGGCTCCAAGAAAATTGGCAATTCTATGATTAAATTTGTTTCTGTTTTTGATTAACTATTTTGGCTTAACAATTGTAGGATGAGTTGATGTTGCACTTGGTGTTATTTCACTTGCACCATTTATTCTATTATTATTGATTGTTATTCCAAAAATTCATGCTCGTATGTTGATTAGTTTAAGGCGAAAAATGTGTGAATACCTTATTTAGGAACTTGCTTCATTTCTTTGGTTGAGCGCCAATGAGAATGCCACTTTTGGTAATTATGTGTTTACTACTTTTCCCATGGGATTTTTTTGTTGGCAATTATGTGTTCAATTCCATGTGGTTTTTGGTTATAGCAACCAAACATGTGTAATTGATTA